TTCCTGCAGAAATGATGAGCGATCACAAGTTACCAGTAACCAGGAATCCTGCCTCCACTTCCCTTCCTGCTGTGAGAGATGCCAAAACTCTGTGAGCCAGGATCCCTCTCTCTCTCCTGTAGTAGTATATGTGTGCATACACGTGTATGTGTGTACATGGACAAGTGCTCATATTTGCAATGAAGGGGAGATTCAACTTAGATTGCCACTTTTGCTGTGAGACAAAGATCTCTTCCTTGTGCCCTAACTTGGAATAGTAGAAATGTTTTATGGAAATGATAACAAAACCCTGATAACATTTTGCAATTTACAGAGGACCTTGACTTTATCCCAACAACAAATTGTGCAGAAAATAAGTTAGATGCTCTCTGCTTACCAATCTCCAACCTCTGAATGGTCACAAATAGACCAAAGCTCTATAAGAATGCACTACCAGTGATGGTATTGGGTTGTCTGCATTTTGAACTCTAAAAACTACACTGTTGAAAATCGATGCATTTCAATGGGGCTGTGAAGATTTATTTGAAGAAGGAGTTTTTCCAAGAATTATTAACCACATCAGGTTCAGTAAGTTCAAGTGTTAAAAGTCTTTGTTGAGTAATTACCAATGGAATCAAAGATACTTTTTTCAAATTAAAAGTGATGAAAAAAGGAGGAATGTTTCCTATGAATGTAGAATGAATTATTTAAGAGTGAAAATGATTCTGAAGAGCAAAGAGTAAATCATATAACATAAAAGTGCTGTGCCTGCACTGATGGACAGTATGAGCAAGAAAATGAAATGAGATTGAAAGAGGGACACAATGGGAGACTTTCATGGATGTACAACTATGCATGGGCAAGAGCTTCATGTTAATTCCATGGAAGGACAAGTGTCAGAAAAGTGTCTTGGGATATCCTTAAGGAGGGCACTTACCTGCCTCCACTAACTTCCAGTAGACACAATTGAGAATGGTTTAGGAGGAAATGTTATACACTTACTTACAAAACAGAGTTTCTGTGCTTTGTTATATGCCAAACATTATTCTACCACTTAGATACACATTGTACAGAACATGTATTAACAAGGACGCCACCCGTAAGCAAAAGTCTTGAGAAACTGATTCATACTCCCATTTCTGGAAATGCATTTGAGAAGGAGTTTTCCCAAGAATTATTAACCACATCAGGTTCAATGAGTTCAAGAGCAGTACAAGCTTAGTGACTTTGGAATTTCCCACACATAGACTCACAATCAAGACTCACACCCTGATTGTAAGTAGGGGAGTTTCTATTCTAGTCCCTCCTCTCCTCTGATGAGGAAGCTGAGCTATGAGGAGCTTAGGAGATTTATCCCCAAGCAGTCAGAGGTGGAATGAAAATTCAGTCATGGTCACTGACTTCAAATCATTGCTCTCTTCTAATTCATAATGATTCTTCACAATTTGGATGGACCAGAAGCTGATCCCCAAACTTCCTCTTTTCAGTTCTTAGAAGCAAAGGGCAGGCAATGTCCTAGATTCTATTTTTTTTTGCATATGATGAAGAGCTACTTTCTAGTAGCCTACCTAGCATTTACTAAAGATTACTAAAATATTATATCATGATCTAAAATTAACACATTATTAGAGCTTAACAAGGACTTAATTCTGTATTTTACTAAGATTGCATAGCATGAAAACACATTAATTTGGGTATGTGACTCACTCAGAGAAAAAGAAATAGCTTGGAACTTCTATAATTTTTAGTAAATATGCTATATATTTTGAGTGTTGCTATCATGAGTGGGCTGGAGATTTCAATTGCTGCCATTCTTACCTTTAAATATAACTCATTATTCATTAATTTTAAAATTATCAGTTAGTTTGTGGTGAGTGGTTAAGTTAATCCTATGGTGAATAATAATGTATTTATAGTATTTTGACTTATAATTAACCAATGATTAGATTTTAAGTCACAGGTCCATTGAATTCAAAATAGAAATTTATGTTGCTAAAACACACATACATGGAATCCCCCCTCATCCAACAAATATGCATAAAACACTCATTATTTTTATCAAGTTCTTTTTTAATTGGAAAGTTGGGATGAGTTGAAGAGTGAACATAGGGTATTTTCCACCCATGCTTGAAAACATCTGAGAATCATTTTAACATATAAAATATAATGCTGGGCTGGGGATGTGGCTCAAGTGGTAGTGTGCTCACTTGGCATGCATGGGGTGCTGGATTCGATCCTCAGCACCATATAAAAATTTTAAAAAATAGAGTTGTTGTGTCCACCGAAAACTAAAAAATAAATATTAAAAAATTCTCTCTCTCTCTCTCTTTAAATTTTATATATATATATATTGCTCTATATTTTTGGTCTGATGCCATTTACCACCAGTTATCTATCCAAAAGCCAAGCCCAGCCCTTTTCCTGTTGTTGCCACCCACCATAGAGAATTTTGTATTTTTAAAATAAAGTATGTGCCTTCCTAATATTTTTTTTAACTGGGCAGTCATAGGATCCTACTTTGGCCCATAAGCTGTACATAGAAGTCTTCTGGGGGAGGCTTCTTAGATTTTTGTTTCCTCCTGAATTGGGGCACCCCACCTCCTAATTCTTCTAGCAGCCAAGTCACTCTGCAGCTATGAAGAAAGCAGCAACAGAATCACAGGGATGTGTTGTTAAAATCCTGAATCTATGTGGACAGTTGCCCACTTACAAATTTCTTTTTATGGAAGAAGAAATATACTCTTATTTATTAAGTCAATGAATACTGAGTTTTTTGTTAGGATCCTAAAGCATCTTCACTGATACTTACGTATGCATAAGGAAGTATCTAGGTGCTGACTTTGATGCACAATTCTCATTTATGATATTGTTTCTAGGGAAAAGATGTTCTGAGTCCAGACTTCTTGCTTTTCTTTTTTTTAAATGGAAACATAACTCCATAATTGATTAAAAAAAAAGAAAAAGTTCAAGTGTTCGTTTCCATTTTATCTCCCCCAAACTCATGCTCTTACTATCCTTCAGACACACGTGTGAGAGCACACATACACACACTCACAAACCTGCTCAAAGGCCTATATCTGCCCCTATTACCTCGTGCTGGGATGATGAATTGGTTTCATCTTGGGCGCCAACATTGATAGATGGGTAGTAGCTGTCTGGATCACTATGTTGAGAATAATTTTGAGGCAGACAACATGACTCATAAGGAAAAGTGTTGTGATCAATCGGCCAAGTCTACTATGCTGTGAAAAATGGAGGAGCAGCACCTGTGTTTCTGCAGCAGTTGACCTGATCCAGCGTATCACATTTTAATTTCTCAGCCTAGTGTAATCCTTCCTCTTCTCTTAACCCTGCAGGTAGGAATTTTGTATTTTTAAACTGGGACATTTAGTCCCTATGCAGGCTGCCGTTTACTAACTAGAAAATCAGAATATGCTAAGTAAAACAATATCCCACTAGAGTATTGAAGATGGAATTGTAGAGAAAATGTCATGTCTTGAGGAAAATTTAATAGATGGTATGTCAGCCATGGTGGGCCTGCCCCTCCCTTCAAGAAAGACCTTGCCATTCAGAGGAAGAAGTGCAGTCAGCCTCCAGCAGCAGCTCCTGCAGTGTCCAACTCAACTTCATAGGCAGACCCAGATGTTGAGCATGCTGGGGGCCCCAGGGCCTGGCCATTTCTACCCAATTCAGGGCTTATCTACAGGCAGTCTTTGCTCTGGAACTCCCATTATAATGGCTAAGATTCCATTAGCTCTGCATTTCTGTCTGAGGTATTCTTAGCTTGATTCTGCTGCCTTCCACCTCCTCACACAAGTGCCAGATCAGCATCTCTGCCCCATGTCTTCCCTCCCCTCATCTTTCACAGGTGTGATCCTCTCTTCCTCAAATACCCCAAACTCCATCAGAGTGTCTGCTTCCTGGAGAATCTAAACTGTTACACATGCCTATAGTTTAGACCTGGAGGATTCCCCAAAGGCCCATGTGCTAAATACAGGCTTGATCTCTAGCCCATGGCACAATTGGAGGGCAGTGGAAAATTTTAGAGGTGGGGTCTATTGGAAGGTTTTAGATCATTAGGGGCATGCCTTTGAAGGGAATTGTGGGAACCTGGTCTCTTTCTCCTTTGCTTCTCAGGCACCTTGAGGTGAACAGCTTTGCTCCACATTCCCCACCATGAGGTGCTGCCTCACCACAGGCCCAAAAGAAACAGGATCAACCAACTATGAACTAAAACATTCAAAATTATGAACCAAAATAAACCTTCTCCTTTTATAAGGTGGTTATCTCAGGTATTTTGTTATAGTACCAGAAAGCTGACTGACATACCTACTATGGATATACCCCAAAATCATTTATAGTAAACGTACAACATGCCTAAGGAGAAAAAGTACTATGTTGGCTTTGGCATCAGAGAATATTGATTAAAATCCCAGATACTTATTATTGAGTGACATTGAGCTAATGTCCTCATCTTTGAAATAAGAATAATAGTAACTTTTGATGAAACAGTGGAAGGATTAAGTGACATAGTATCCATTAAATTGATTTCTAAGTTATTAAGCATTATATTTTTAATGTAGTTATCATTGTCCTTATTATTATTATTTTAAGTAATTTAGAATACCTGTTACCAACTGATCAATTCACATACCTTTATAAATACTTATTATGCCCTTACCATGGCATTAGTGCTAATTTAGGAAATGAGGAAGGCAAAATTTCTGCTGTAAGTGAAGCTTACATTTTCTAAATTAAATATGAGTTTCATTTAAAATATACTAGTAAGTTAGCAACAGTTCATTAACAGGGGCAGTCATTCCCTGGATCAATTCAACTCTAATAGCAGTATGGCCTCCTTCCAAGATTCATCTTTGTTGTTCTTTCCTGCTGAACTACCTCGCCATCCTTTTAGTTTTCACCATCCATGATGCTGTGAATCCTGCAGGGGTCTAACAGACTAGTGCAATGGCTTCTCCCCACACCCACAGTTAGCTGGCCCAGCTTCTTGCCTTACGCACTTGCTGTTTTCCTCTCCTTCTGACCCCACTCCTCTTTTCCTGCTCCATCGTGCCTCTCTGCCCTCTCCTCTTCACTTTTGCTTTTCTTCCTTTGCCATCACCCTCAGTGGGAGACATTCTCTGTTTCTTCAGTTGGCATTGTCGTCTTTGCATGGAAGAACAAACTTCCTGCCTGCAATAACAACCGAGACCTCACCACCCAGGAAGCAAGATCACTGCCTCTTACACTTCCTGGAGCCTGGTTGCCACAGAAATTAACATGTGTCTCTGAGACACTCCAATTAACTCAGGCCCCAACCAGGCAGAGTAAGATATAGCCATCCGTTATGGGCTGTGGTTAGAGCCAGCTGGTCACCATCCACCTGGAAGCTGGCGGAACGAGTCTATTCTGAGTGCACAAAGGCAAACGCCTGCATAAACCCAGAACCCTTCATTCCCCAACTTGAATGGCTTACCATGTCCCTCACTCATAATTTTTAAAAATGATTAGTCTTTGCCCTAGTATCTAGTAGCAGATCAGTGGCTAGTAAATATTTTTGAACATGTTCTACAATTAGAAATGAATGTATGTTAAAGAGAGAGAAAGAAATGTTTGTGCAGAAAACTTTCTCTATACACATACATATGTTTATTTATACACACATAAGTATTTGTGTACCTGAAACAAAAGTTTCACAAACAATATTTACTCTCATTATATGTAGGACTAAATTATTTTATTTCATTTCAATCCTATTCTTCCTTAATAACTTTTTATAATGCTAGTTTTGACCTAGGAATTTTTATTCTCTTTTTGTATATGCCATTTCTACCCAGTGTGGTGAAAGCTATGGATCTCTTCTTGGAGTACTTTTTAAAATGCATACAACAAAACCCATAGGATTACAAAGGAAGACAATTATATTGAAAACAGTCCTGCCCCTGAGCTTCTTGGGGGAGCAGCATCCAGCGTCCTCAAGTGAGAAACCCCTGCATGACTAAATTGATTTCACTACTGGCTCCTGAGCTATAACCTGCAGTTTGGAAAAGATGACGGTAGACAAAGCCTTGGAACGTTCTGTAGTAATTAAATATTTCAGATGCTTATTAACCTGTCATAGTTTTAACACTCTCTTTTCCCTCCCTTTCCTAGTGCTTCTCCAATGCAGTCACCAGTGCACATACACACATAGGCACGTACATGTACCTACCAGTGCACACATGTAAAATGCTCACACGTGCACATGCATACGTGTGCAGGTCTTAGGTCACATATCTAGACTGAGACAAGGCACTAGACCATTGGGTCCAGCCCCTCCTACGTCCCTAGTCCTGCTTACTCACTGTCCCTCCATCCCAGCTCCCCTGGCTCCCTTGAAGTACTTCAGAGGCTTATTATCTCTGTAAGACAGTGCTCACCATCCTGGATTTCTCTGTGTCTTTCATGGCATTGTGAACCGATATGTATATTCTGCCCCAGAATAATAGTGGAGAACGGTGGTGGCACGGCCCAGAGCCCTCGACCTTTATTTTCTCAAGCTTCAATAAACTGTCTGTGGCAGGTGTTTCCTTTTGATAGGCGCTTCTGCTACTCACTTGAGGTGTCACACCCAGTCTGCAGCTGGAGCTCTAACTTGGCTCCCAGTAGCTGTGCTGATCATGCTGTATCCCCAACATGGAGGAGCAGCTTAGCCAGGGGTGCTGGGAGAAAATGTACTTACTGCCTCATCTGAATTGTGCAGGTGCTTTCTCAGATGCTTTGCTACTGCAATTTCCTGCTGCCATAGCAAAATGCCCAGAGCAAATTCTTTTCTTCTTTGCATGTAGGAAGGTGATGACTGTCTGAACTGACTCCAGGCAACAGACAGTAATAGGAAACCCCCTTTTGTGAGCTATATTATTGGTTTAGTTTGACTTGCATCCCCCCCCAAAAAAAAAGATGTGTTGAAGTCCGAATCCCCAGTGTCTAAGAAGGTGACTTGATTTTGAGAAAGGGTGTTTACAGAGGGAATCAAATCATCTTATAAAATGAGGTTACTAGGATGTCTAATCCAATAAGACTGTTATCTTATAAAAATGTGAGACTTGGGGACAGAGACAGGTATAGAGGAAAGACAATGGAGGAAGAGAGATAGGAAGAAGACAGTCCTCTACAAACTAAGGATAGAGGACTTACAACAAACCAGCCATGTTGATTCAGACATTTAGCCTCCAGATTGTGAGACAATAAGATCAACAACTGTGCCTGTGTCATTTGCTTCCGAGAATGAAATGGGGAGCGGAATGTTTTTCCCCTCCATGTGGCCACCAGCCACCTGAAGTTTTGAATGACAGAGAAAGGGTTGAACACCCCCAAATGCTAAAGGACTACTGCTTCAAGGGACTCAGGTTTTTGTGTTCAACATTCTGTGTTGCCAAAAAAAATTTGCACACTCCCATGAGCAAAGCAGGAAACAGAAGAGGAAGGAGATATGTATTTACTTCCTCTTAGTGGTAAGAGCATATCAGGCTATTCTAAAATTGACTCCGTTAGCAGAATTATTTGACCTAAACTATGAGCATTTTAATTATACCCAGCACATATCATTTTTAAAATAGATTTCCTGGATTTTACCCTAATGACTCGTTGCCAATAAACCACTGACTATCAGATTTTTTTTTATTATGCTCTATGGTTAGAAATGCAAATGTTGAATAACACTTCAGATATGTCCAATTCCAGAGCTTCAGGCAGATAGGAGGATACTGAGCCCCTGAGAGAGAACAGGACTTGCCCAAGGTCACTTAGAAACAAGTAATAGAACAGGGTATCAAATCCACTTCTTCTGGCCTCTCTTTCAAAAGTCTCCAGCACTCCCAGGCTGCCATGGTACATCCTGCAAAAGAGGTTTCTACTAAAAAGTTAACCTTTTTTATGTACACTACATCATTCTTCCCTCATGTAAAGATTTGGAAGCTCAAAGTTCACAGAAGCCTCATGAAATTACCCAAAAGAATTGACAAGACAACTGATGAGAATTTTTTTTTAATTTCAAAATCCTTGTTTTTCATGAAGACGGCTTTTTCCCCCCCTCTGCTGGGGGGCACAAAACTCCTTTTTATTGCACCTAGACTTTCCTGTTTAAATCCATTTAAAATAGGTTTTTCTTTCTCTAAGCTAATTACCTTCACCAATGAAATTTAAAACTTTTTAAATCTTTACTTTTAACCCTTAGCCTTTTTCCCTTATCATAATTCACTTCTCCCATCAAGTTCAATGACTTATACAATTAATTACTTTTTGAGCTTCCAAATGATTTGCTGTTATGTATGCCATAGTTTTCTTCTGGATGAGAAAATACGTATTTCACACAATAGTGCCATTGCTTTTATTATTCTTCCTGTCACGGAGAGGGGAATAGAACAAGAACCAAACAATAAGACTCTTATGTGCAGCCACTGGAGAGCCATCCTGAAGGTTCTTACAAGCCTCTGCCATTGTGCGCTTCCATCTTGGACAGGCCAAGGAGAGGCGTAGTATGGTGCCTGTCTTAGAGACTGCGGAGTTGAAGCTCCTCATTTCAGAGCTGAAGGGTCTAAAGAACATAGGTTCTCCCAGGGCCATGCAGCTTGCTAGGGCCAGATCCAGAACTAAGCTTCGGGTTTCTGCCCCCAACCTATTGTCTGTTCCACTGCCCAACAAATCCCTGGAATTCTCCGTGAACTCTCCAAGCTCATCACAAAACGGCCTGTAATCCGTTAGTCATTAGCTCAGCAGTATGGAGGAAAGGGAACGTCCTGACCTGGCTCGACATAACCATTTGAATGATCTGGTTGATTAAAGTTGCTCCAGCTCCAGCCTTCAAACAGCCCTCACAAATTCTTCCATGTGTCGCAATCCAAAAGCTGTGAGCAGGATCCTGCACACAATGTGACCTTGTGGGCTTAAGAGGATGGGACTCTGGCATTGGCACAGGCAATGAACCTTTCTGGCATGAACATTTTTTCCCCTCAGTTTTTCCATATTTCAAATAAGGATATTCTTTTTATTTTTTTATTTTTGAGGATTACATGAGATATGGCATGAAAAGAGTTCATAATAACTCAATAAATATTAATGGTTATTATTCTTGCTACCGATAAGGAAAACCTATTCAACAGTGGATTATAAACATTTATAAGGAAATGTAAAAGAGTAATTAGTGTAATTTCAACAATCGCTGGATGGAGCAGTAGAAAGTATCTTGGGCTGTGAGTTGGGAAATCTGAGCCCCCCATATAGCTCTGTCATGAGGGAGCTGTGTGGTATGGGAGAAGAAATCTCCCTTCTCTGGGTCTCAATTTCTTTATCAGCAACTCTAAACAAATTCTAAACTCTGAATGGAAGAGAGAAAATCCCTGAAAAGTACGACTTAATGGACTCACAGTCAAAGCAACCTCATCTGAAGCCAGAAAACAGTGAACCCCTGCCAAGAATTATTGTCTTCTGTGCAATGAGGAAGCTGGTTCCTTGGTCCACCTCCATGGGCCATGACGCTGAAGCACCCTGTCTCCAAAACAGGAATTTTTCCATCCTTGCCTTCATAGGAGCCACCTGTCCAAACTTAAGCCAGACAAGGGAGCAGATGAGCAATGAATGTCACAGCAATTAGTTTTGGCAATTAGGCTGGCAATTAATTCTGCAGCATATACAATGGGAGGAGAAAGTAAACCAGCACTGAAAGGTGACAGGGAAATCTGAGTAGGACTCAGGTTCCAGGGACACCAGGTGAAAAGGCCCAGCCTCCCTTCCCCACTGCTGCTATGATGAGAGAAGGTGCTTTCCAAAGGCCTGGAAAACAGATGCTTTGGTGAAAGGGGCTTTCGGTCCCCTGTTCTGAATGTCTCAGGGAGGTTTCGCATTTCCTGTGTTCACACCAGACTAACAATCTTTGTAGTTTCTCACAAGAATTTTATCTTTAACACTAAATGAACCAGTAGTTTCCTGGGGACTGTCCTCTCTTTGCTGAGAATACCTGCATTAGTTTCGTTTTTTTATAGCTTCCGTTGCTCTTCTCTAAGAAAAAATTAATTTTCTGGTTTTCTTGAGATAGGTGGGAAGTAGATAGTATATAATTACACAATATGGTGATAGGAAAAATATATAGCACTTTACAGTCAAAAACCTGGGCCTGAATTCCAGCTCTGCTATTTGCTATTTTCTGGCATTTAGTTTCCTCAGCTCCAAAATGGGAATATTATAGGATCCAGTAGCTCTTGACCAAGGATAAACTAATTTCACATGGAGAGGGCATACTCATATTTCACAAATATTTTTTATGAAATTCAAACTTAATCTAAGCATCTTCCATCTTTATTTACTAAATCTGGCAACATGAGGTGATGAGATAATGATGATGATGATGATGATGATGATGATGATAGAGATTATATCAACACATATTAAAACCTACAACAGAATGCCTAGCATGGAAATAGGGAAGGAGAGAGACAACTAAAGTTCCTTTCTTCTCACTTTCCTCTGCCATTTTCATCTAAAAGGTTAACTTGCTCTAATGAGCTCTTAAGCAAAGAGTAATGTCAATAACAATGGACCGATTTTGACTCCAGGCAAGGAAGAGCTTTCTAACAGTTGCCTCAGGTCAGGGAGTCTAGCTCAGGCCCAGTAATCCCTTGAAAACAAGAGTCAAGCATCAGGCAAGTGGTGACCCAACATGACCTTCACTGTCCTTCCTATCCTGAGATCTTGAACTGGTATTTCAAGCTGCTTTTCTCTGAGAACTGAGAACAGCTGGGAGGACACAGCCATGGAATGAGGGACTGTGGTGCCAGAGGAACCCCCAAGCACAGCCGCAGGCTGTCCAACGCTCTAACAATGATTCTTAGGAAAAGTCAAGGAAGGAAACCAGTGTTGGATCTTACACTTCATAAGGCTCAGCTGGTGTTCGGATGCCCCACCCAAACAAAGGCACCTTCAGATTTCATGAGACATGATGCTCATGCGAGTCCTCTTAAAGAAAAAAAAATGTAGAACTATAAATTTAAAATTAGATCTGAAAGTGAATATTTACTTGTAATGAGAAATGATATAATGACAAATTGCAGGAGTGCTAGAGAATTAGGACCCTTTCTTCTGCAATCTCTACAAGTGATTTACCAGAAATGCTGACATAGGAATGTTTGCTGATTGTATGCAGGCTCACTCTCTCCACCTGGAGCTCTGTAACTCTTAGCAACCCAGTCACTCGTAGGCCCCGCATATGAAGGGACCTGTAACTTACACCTTATTAATTTCATGACATGTCTTCTCTTACACCTAACTGAATACTTTTACAACCATGTTTATTACACAAGCAATATTGTAAAAGTATTAGGAGAAAATGATGAGATGGGAACTCTCAAAATCCTACCATCTGTATCTTTTTTGCATATTCGCTTTTCACATGGTATCTTAGTCTGTTTTCTGCTGCTAAACAGAATACCATAGGCTGGGTACTTTATGAACAGTGGGAGCTGTGGTTCTGGAAGCTAGGAAGTCCAATGGCTTGGCACCAGCGTTGGAGGGGTCTTTATACATGTCACAACATGGCCCAGGGCAAGAGAGCAAGTTCAAGACAGAGAGAGCAGGAAGGTTGAGCAAGAGGGCAAAAAGAGCTGGACTTTTCCTTTTGCCAGGAGCTCACTCCCAGGATAACTATTCTATTTGGATGATAATAATATTAATCCTTTCATGAAGATGGAGTTCTCTGACCCAATCACCTCTTTAAGGTCTCACCTCTTAATTGTTACAATGGAAATCAAATTTCACCAAGAGTGTTGGAGGGGACAGTCAAACCATTGCACATAATAGGAATGGGATTCCGTACCCTTTTCATTCTCTTTTGTACATAACATTCTGTCATTTCCCTCTGGGCTCCGTTGTCTTCATCAGCATTGACATTTCAAGGCTTCATGATACTCCATTATCCCGCCATTGTTAGGAATCCATATTATACAAACAAGAATTATGTAGCTGAGAACTAAATTTTAGCCTGACTGTGGACAGTTCTCATCTCCAAAAAGAACTTTTTAAAAAAGAAAGGCCCAGCAACATTGTAATCCACAGAGGTGTAAATAATCTGTCGATTTAAAGGGAAAAAAATCTGTCAAACCAATTATTAGGTGTGGGCAGATAAAGAAACTATCAGCAGGTTGGATTTCCACTTTTCAACTAATTTCTTCAGTTAAGCAATTGAAAATCCAGTGAGAATGACCTTTCTCATGGGGTCACTGAAGAGAATAAATAGAGATTTTCTTCAGACTGGATACTGGAGTGGACATTTTTTTTTTCCTAAGGAGTATTTCCTAATGGAAAGTATTCTTACTGGAGTCACACCATGTAAATTCTATGGCAATAATTTAACTATGCCAATTAGAATGCAAATTATTTCACAAAGCACTATGAGGACCCTCTCTCGGAGAAACTTCTGAACAAAACATTTCAATAGTGCTCTTTAGCTTTCCCTTTCTGGGTGGAAATTAGGAGTCGAGTACAATATGATTCATAACATCATGGAACAGTTGCTGTGGGTGGACACACGTCATTCACATCCCCCTTACAGGCCCAAAGCTACACCCTCTTACCTTTTACTTCCTCAACTTCTCAGTGGGGTGCAGCAACCAAATCACCCTGTGCAGTTTTGAATTTTTAAAACTCCAATAGGAAAAAAAAAAATTGACTGTAAAGACAGAGCATAAGAATCAAAAGCTCCTATCCTAAATGATCTGAGTCTCATACCAGGCAATAAGCTCAGAGCACGAAATGTCTTTTCTATGAGTTGGATCTGTCTCCACAGCCCATCCAATTTATAAGTAAAGGTGATTACAGCTCAGCACAACTCACTGAGAGCATTAAACCAGGATGAGCATAAGCCACTACGATGATAACTAAGTCATTGTTTAAAGTGAGCCCCCACATCAATGGGCATGACTCTTTTTATCTTGGGGTTCCTAATGTGTCCAAGGTTGCTGAAAAGATCCCCTCTTTGCATCTCTCATGTTCTTAAATATTAAGGACAAAATGGGGGATCTGAGAACTTCAGAGTGGAGACAGGATGGTGGGCCAGGTTTGAAGGATGCTCTGTTTCTGCTGGAGGAGTCTGAGCTCCTATGTGTAATGGTGGTGCCGTGGCTTAGACCCTTCCCAATTTTCACTGCGTAACATCCCCTCAGACTGTGTGACTTCAATGCCTGGCAATGAAAGTCAAAATAGTGAGGGCAACTACAAAGAACTGATTTGACACAGTCTCTTCAGGTATCAATCTTCCTCCACTTCAATGACTCACCTGGTGTCACAGGAATGGTGATGATCAAAGGGCTTCTGTGGGGCACCCAAGACAAAATGTGTACATTTATATTTTTTTCCTTTTAATTTTATAAAAGTCTACATCCATGAGACCCAAAATCAGGGAATGACATTCTGACCAGCCAATTTTCTCACTGCAGCTTTTGTAAAATGAAATTTTCTTTGCTTCCTATTTTTATGCCGTCTTCTAGTGCTGCTGGCACAAGTCACAATCGTACTTGGTGCTTCTGTCATGCTTTTTATCCAAAGATTTCAAAGTGCTCTACAGCAGGGCTGGGAGGAAGGTCAGCTCTGTTGTCCCCAGCAAGCAGATAGGGTGAATGCCGAGAGGTGACGTGACTCAGACGCATGCTCTGCAGAGCTTCGGGGACAGAGGAGCTTCCTAATTCCTAACTCAGTCTGCTAGTCACTTGTCCCAGGTGATGTGGCCTCTTTTCAGGGATGAACATTAGGCCCAACATGACATATTATGAATACCTAGTGAAGTGACTGACCCCCAAGGAGAAACTGGAAAGGCAACCAAAAAGAAGTTTGATTTGTTTCTGAGAAGTCATTTTCCATCCTTTAGAACTTGGACAGACAAGCTTAAAAAGCTGGTGCAAATCTACTGGGTGAAAAATGGCTACCAGACTCCAGTACTTGAAAATATCAAAGTATTGGCAAGGAATCCCAGCAACAGGAATCTCATACTCTGCAGTTGGGAATGCAATTAGTACAACCACTGGGGAAAACAATTTAGCACTGGCTTGTAAAATTGATCAGGCACAGACATTCCAACACAGCAGTTCCACTCCCACATGAAAACTCCAGAGATAAATTCTCACACATAGGCACCAAGAATATGTACATATATTCATGAAATGGGATAGCCAGTGGTGAAAATGAATGAATTGTATCTCCCCATAAAATATGAATAAAATGTATATATAGGACTTAATGAAAAAAGCAAGACAGAAGAAGAGATAAGATGAATTTTTGTAAAGCTATTTCTATACATCTCAAAAGTATAAAAACTAAACATATGCTAAGAGGCACAAACATATACGTGATAAAATTTGTTTGTTTTTTTTTTTACAAGCAAAGAAATAATAAAAGCAAAAGCAGGATGGTGGTTCCATCTTGGGAAAGTTGGTGCTCTCTGACAGGGGGAGGGATTCAGAATAGTGGTATATTCTAGCTCCTACGTGTTGGGTAATGGATTCATGTGATACCATTCCTCTTCAGAATTATACATATGTGACACATATTTTTTCAAGAATTTCAAAAAGTCAGTGCAGATGATCTCAGAATGGAAGAAATAAGACACCTTTACAAGAAAGCACAGACACTCTCCAGGGGTGTGTGTGCACATGTGTACAGGGTTTAAGGTGTTGCTTAAACACTAGAAACATATAAAATTTTTGATTCATTATTTTTAGAACACTTTCAAACTGTAAGTCAAGAAAAGTATTTGAAACAAATATGACACACAAAAAAAGAGTTACCATAGTTTGTCAAGAGTCTATACAAATGAGAAGAAAGGCATTTCAACTCAATATAAATTCTGAAAAAATGTATGAAATAATTTCAGGAAAAATCAACTAAGAAAGATATGAAAGAGACTTGAACTTCAATAGTAAACAAAGAAAGAGTATTTAGGACAACTCTCCTTTTTAGCTATAATATTGGTAGAGATTGAAAAACTTCTCAATGCTAGCAGGAGTTAGTGGAGTGGGCATCAACATTGCTAAGGACAGCCTTTCTGAAGCATTTTAGAGGGAGAATTCAGTAGCTGTAACTAAGCCCCGACTTCTTAGCCAATAAGGTCCTGGAAACTTCTTCAAAAAGAATCATTAGAAACCAAAAGATATTGACAACTGCATTATCTTTAATAGCAAAAATTAAATGCTGAACAATAGGAGAATAGTTAAATAAAGTACATCCTCAATGGAAATTATGCAACCATAGCAGTGATTTTTCAAAAGCTATTCATTGACATGGGAAAATGTAGACATGCTAGGTAAAAATCAGGATACGGAACTGTTTGTAATGCAGTTTTTGATCTATAAAATATATGTATATACCCACACAGAAAAAAATTCACAGAAGTTGTTGAAAAGTTTAAATAGTAGCCACTATATTATGAGCTCATATGTAGCTTTTAGTTTCTTCTTCATCCCTTTCCATAGTTTCTATAGGCGATTTTCTCATTAATCATAACATATGAATACTTTTTGAAATAATAGAAAGTATCTACAATAGAGAGGCAGATGTTTCCTGTATGTAACATGGCTGAGTCATAAAGGGTCCATTCTAGGGTGTCCAACTGTTCCAGTTTGCCTAGAATTCTCCCAGTTTCAGCAAAGAAAGTCTCGTGTCCAGGCAAAGCTTTCCACCCTGGGAAAACCAGGTCAGTTGGTCATCCTATGATTGGCATGAGAGTCTCATCAGAGTGCAAAGATTTTCTTTAAATTGCAGCCATAATCTTGATAATTCCTTCAGTCTCCCTGGAGAGATGTCTGCTGCAACCTTGCAGATTTCAGAAGATTTCTGGATAAGTCACATCTTAAGAGCTTGTTGAAAACAGAGCAGATTGCATAAATACTAAATAGGCTGATTTAGCTACATTATACAAGCTTTGAATGTTGCATGCACTCAAATAGGTCAGGGAATAAGAACTCGCTCATGTCTTAGGGAAGAGGAGCTTATTTATCTCTCATTTCGTTCTTTGTGCTACATATATTCTTTCCTTTTGCAGACTGGGAGTGGCAGGTGTATCATGATCCTGGAGAAAAACTGGGCAGGTTAGGGCTAAAGCCATAGGAAAGAATAAAGATTCAGGTGAGAACTGCCTTTACCTACAATACCTTTCTTACACAACAAGGACAAATCCTCTCCAATGCTAAATCTCAAGGAAGTTCCTCTACATCTTTGTTTAGGAAAACAATCTGAAATTATATTAGGACTAGGATACTGGGTATGATAACAGGAATCTCTGTGTCACAGAGAAACGCAGTAAGTGGCAGATGAGGGGGTGTCAGGGAGTCAGAATGCCTACCTGGGAAGCAAGCATTTTTCACTTCCCAGCTGTTTGAGTACCTTGGGACAGTCACTGAGCCACTCTCTGTGCCTCCGTTTCCTCATGGATAGAATGGGGGTGTGATAGCACCTACCTCATAGCCTTGTGAGGATTCCATCTGTTAGGAGGTAGTGAGAGCTGGGAGCAGCACTTGTAAGTGGGTGCACAAGAGTTTGATCAGGGAGTGCTCCCAAGTTCAGTCACACGAGCAGTGAAGAGAGGGAAGAAGAACTGAACAGAATAAGAGGCTGAGCTGTGGTCAAGTCTTGACAAAGCCTCATTGGGATGCTCCAAAATGTCCAGAGTTAAGGCAACAGGTGGGCCTCCATACCCCTGCAATAATGTGTAAGTGGGTCACCTGGAGAATGCAGAGGGACCCTCCAGTGAGGCAGCCATGAGAATCATTACGAGTTCTCTTCCTGCAGACCCAGGATTGGGATCTAAAAGCCAACTTTGCATTTGTGCCCAGGCTACTCTTCCCACAGACTTCTCCCAGTCCACAGCAGAGCCAAAACGAATACACAGGCACACCCCTTCTCGGGAGATGGGGGACTGATCTGATAGCAGATTTTGTCTGGAGAAATCCTGATGGCCTTGCTGAACCTTCCTTAGACTTCTCAGTGGTGCAGAATGTTTCCTCCCAGGCTTCTCTTCCTTTCTTCTTTACTCACGACAAGCCTTCTCTGGTTTCCTGAATATTGGTGGTGAACACCATAATGTGCCACTCCCATTCCTATTTAGGAACAAATGTGAAAGTTTGCTTTTTTTTGTTTAATCCCCTTTAATTGTATTATTTTATTAAGCTTTATGTGCTTCCAAAACCAAAACTGAAAAAGAATAAACAAACAAAAATTAGGATACTCAGATTTCAAGTGCCCATCCAGAAAGGCAAAAAAACAGGGTAAAGATATTGTTGTAGAGGAAAGGAGACTAAAGAAACCTGGAAACCCACTGGTTCGGGAAGAAAAGTAAATCTAGCCAATATGGCAAAACACTAACAATTAACTGTTGATCTAGATCAAGACTATTGTATTAATTTTTGAGTTGTTCTGTGAGTTTCGAAAGTTTTCAAAATATAGATTTAGGGGAAAGTAAGAAATGGCTCCTTGTGAAGTGTCCAAGTCTTTGGTTCTTATCTGTCTGCAAACATATTAAGACATAGAGACAACCAACAGGTCCTGAAGGGAAGTCCATAAGCACTAAACCTGAGCCCCAATTTCTTAAAAGTAAAGCGGAAAGTAGCAGAGGGAGATCTCTGGGGTTTTATATATTATTCGCTTCCAGTGAATTCTAGACAGAGAATTAAAAATATGACTGTGAGCCCTTGGACAGAAAGCAATGATCACTAAGAGACAACATATGTTCATTAAGAATAGGTCATGCAAAATACACCTCTTTATTCCCCCTAGTTGGGAACATCAAAGACATAGTGCAATCTAATTACACAGTGTTTGGAAAATATGATTCTATTGGCTTTATGATTAGAATGAAAAAATATAGCTGTTATTAACTGAGAACCTCTTCTGCTCTACTCCTTCTTTTGTTCCTTTGTTCATCCATCCATTCAGTGAGTATCAATCCTTCATCTAGCACTGTGCTAGGAAACCCCAAAACCCCATTAAAATTAAGGAAAACAGTAACGTCAACTTAGACCTATAGAAAATTTATAAAGACATTTCCAAAGTGTGGCCTAGGACCAAAAGCAGCAAAATCACATATGGTACTTGTTAAAAATGCACATTTCTGGAATCACATCCCAAACTTACTGAATCAAAATTTCAGGAAATGGGACTTGGGATCTGAACAAATGTTCTAGGTAATTCTTTGGCACACTCAAGTTTTAAGATGTCTGTAATTCTCTGTTCTCCTAAAATTATAAACATCTTAATCACGAATTAGGGAAATCCCAATATAAACTTGGCCTATCAAACTTATAAATGAAGGGAAGTTGGAGATAAAACTGATAAGCCATATTAAAGAATCAAACTTGAATTAAAAGACCTTGGAAAGGAGAATGATGGAATGAAATTAACAATATACAACTTAATAAGGTTAAATGTTAAATTTTGCATCTAAGTTCAAAGAATCAACTACTTAAATACAAGGTAATAAAGTCCTAGATTGACAGCAGTTCACTTGAAAAAGATTTAAAGTTCAATGAGAGTCAAAAATGGGATATTATTTTTTTAAAAAAAATATTCAAATTTAAGGATGCATTAATAGAAATTGAAATTAGGGAAGGGGTGCAAGGTTGTTCCCGCCACTTTCTGCATTGGCAAAGCACATCTATTTTTAAATATTTAAGCACCTATTCTCTGATTTGGATGTTGAATTTTTCCCGAGGTCTATGTGGTCATGGCTTGGTCTCCAGGGTAGAGCTACTGGGAAATGGGAGGTGGGGCCTAGTGGAATATCTCTAGGTCATTGGGGGTATAACCTCAAAGGGGATTGTGGGAATCCAGTTTCTGCCTTTCTCTTTTTGCTTCCTGGCTCATGAGGTGAGAGTTCTGTTCCACTATACGCTCTTGCCGTGATGTGCCACCCTTGCCAAAGACCCAAATCAATGACAATAGTCTTGGACCAGAAAATTAAAAAACCATGAGGCAAAATAAACCTCTTCTTTTTACAAATTAATTACCCCCAAGTATTTTGCTATAGTGACAAAGAGATGACAAACATAATTTATTCTTTAAAGACATTGTCAAACTAGAATGTGTCTTAAAAAAAAAGTGACTAGGTAGTTTAGTATCTTATAGCCACCTAATGAGGAATAGACTGTCTTTCCTAGCAAAGTGAAGACTCATGAGTAATGATAACAACTTTATGGCTATTGTATTAGGAAAGAAATTGACTTTTTTTTCTATATGGCCCCACAGGAAATACCTGAGAACATTGGAGCAGCTATAGGAACACTACTTTGGGTTTAATGTAAGAAATAATTATCTAAAAATTGGAGAGATCTCTGTAGAAGTACACTGTTTCCCTGAGTTCCAGCAGTAGGTTAGAGAAATTGCAGAGAGGATTCCAATCAATCAATTCATCAGCCAATCAAGAGAGATGTTATGGTTGGAATGTTTGCATCCCTTCCAAAATTCACATTGAAACTTAATGGCTGTGTGTGAAGAAAAACACTGGACTGTTTTCCCCTCTACTCTCACTTCACACTCAGCACAGAGGATTTCTATGACCTCAAAAGGTGTAGGAGTTTCTCTCTAACAGCAAGCAAGCAATCAGTTCTGCAGCAGTGGACACCAGCAGGTCATCCTCTAATCCAATTTAATTCTGTCATTATCTACTTGGAAATAGCATCATATCCCACAGATTGGGGGCTCAATCCCCAACACCATCCCCTCGTTTTGGATGCCAGTCATAAGCCCTTGATTGTTTTATCTGCGCTTCTGACCAACTCAGGTCACCCACCCCTCCCTCTTCAGCTTTAATTTGCTTGTGGGGTCCAAAGAACCCAGGGAAGCACTGTCTTACCTTCACAGGTTTATTATAAGGGATATTACAAGGATACAGACGAAGATGTGCATATGGAGAGGTGTGGGGAAGGGACGCTGGGCTTCTATGTCCTCTCCACATGCAGCACACTCCAACAACCTCCACGTGTTCAGCCAACCATAAGTTCTCCAAATCCTGTATTTGGGGGGTTTCAAGGAGACTTTATTCCATAGGCATGATTACTAATACACTGGAAAGGGAAGGGAAGTATGGCAAGGCCTGTTGATTCATGAGGGCAGAGCCTTGCTTCACTTGAGAGGATGCAGCAACAAGGTACCATCTCAAAAGCAGAGACTAGACCCTTAGCAGATGCCAAACCTGCCAGTGCCTTTATCTTGAACTTCCAGCCTCCAGAACTGTGAGAAATAAATTTCTGTTCTTTATAAGTAACCTAGTCTCAGGTATTTTATTATAGTAACACTCAGATGAGAGGACTAAGATGAGAGCTTTTCTATGAGCCAATAGGGATGGTAGGCTAGGAATGAGTCTGTTTAATTCAATCATTTGTATCTGAAATACAAAACATTTTTTAAAGGGGGGGAAAAAACGAATGAAAGGACACCTGCATTACATAGGATATGCCCTCAAATAGAGATTCCATCATTTAAAATTCTATAAAACATTATTTAGAATTTTGATTTCAATGCAAAGCCTTCATATCTTCATCTGGTTTTATCAGTTATTCATCCTTCTGGAAGAATCAGACCCCAGTGTGTTTTAAAGAAAACAAGAATCAGAATTCCCAAGGCCTACTTCCAATGTTCAGAGGAAACCTGGACACAGTGAATCCACAAGCTGTCATGACCTTAATCTTTGAAGTCTGCTACTCCATCTACAGGACAGCCTACCTTACCAGAAATGGACAGTGAACTGAAGCACATGTAGGCTGGCGGGCGCTCTCTGGAACAGCTTGGCAAAAAGTCTTTATCGAAGTAAGGATAACGGTGATTAACTGTAGTAATCAGTTCCCCTCTATTGGGGCGGTTTACATTTAATTCACAAATTGGTTTGGGCATTTAGAAGCTGGATTAGAAACAAAAGATACTCAGTTGGCCATAGAAGTTACGAGAGGGCATTAGATATACTGAAATTAGTGGGCAAAAGCTATAAGAAAGCAAAACCAAAGGAAATTTAGAGGGTGGAAAAGATACTTGGCTGGTGGGCATAAAAACTGTGGGAGCAGATGTACAGACCCTTGTCAGAGTTGCCTGAGGCAGAGGATGAAGTTCTCTGCTGGTAGGGGGATGTCAAAATAACTCCTTGCTAGAGCCACCTTGGATGTTTAAGCTAACTCTGTTCTTTGAACAGTATTTTAGTCTCTCACATTACCTGCTGTGCAGATCTTGAGATTGCCCTTATTTCTATGTGGATCCTATACAATATTCATCCTACTTTTCCACTTAGTTGAGGAAGCAAAAAGAATGTTTACTACCAGCAGTCTGGGACATAGCCCAGGCAGCTTATTATAAGCTCAATATTTCTTTGCAATCTCACGTAGTTTTGATCCTTAAATTTCGTGAGAAATTTGTATTCTCCTCCTTAAAAGATCTGTACTAGTTTTTATGCAAAAATAATGCTTAATCCATTGATTAAAATGAACAATTTAAGGGAATAAATGACATCGTTTGTTTCAGTTGCTTTTCATAACTTTTGGCCAACTGCCAGGTAATGCCTTGAGATGTGGCTCCATAGTTTGAGAGACATGGTCTTACAATATGCTTGTATTCACGGGATGTATCTGAGTGACTGTTCCCTGAAGATTTAAACAATGGCAATGGTTTTAGAGGAGAGAGAGAGAGAGAGAGAGAGAGAATATCAGGTTCCAATATATCATCTGAATTAAAAGTCAGAACACATCATTCTAGATATGTCAAGTATTTGTTAGTTCATGATAAAATTAAATACTTGCTACAGAACAATCGAATTTAATGTTCAAACCCAAATATGTTTATATATATATATATATATATATATATATATATATATATATATATAT